TTTAATGGACTGGATTGAAGCTCAGCTTGACGATGAATCCATATTTCCTCAAAGACTTGGTAATTAATCATTAGACTTGTACTTTTTTCCAAACTATTGCGAAATGAAGGTAAGGTAGTTGACTTGTTTGGCCCTAGGACACATTCAGGTCAGTGACAAATTGTTAGGCTGTGGTTGTGTTGGGGATTGGGTTCAAATCTTCGCTAATAATAAATATAAGAATGGTTGGAGTTTTTCATGCATGATATTGTAAGCAAGGGTAATGATTTTGGGGATGCTGGTTTAATTAACATTACAGATCTGTCATCATCACCATTGCCTCTGTAATTGAAAGTCTACAACTACTATATTTAATAATTTTATGGTGTTATTGGGCCATGGATGATCGTAAACTGTAGAAGTCTGTATGTGTAATTAATTCGCTGCTGTCCTAAAAAGGAGCACTTCTCCTAATTTCAATTTTGCAGGTGCACCATTTCCTCCCAACTTCAAGGAGGTTGTTAAGACGATCTTCAAACGACTATTTCGTGTATATGCCCATATTTATCACTCTCATTTTCAGAAAATTGTGAGCCTCAAAGAGGAAGCCCATCTGAACACGTGCTTCAAGCATTTCATCCTATTTACCCATGTAAGTTCCTTGCTGCATATTTCTAATAATTTTATATTGCTCTGTTAATCAAGAGGGACTTTTTTTTTTTTCAAGCTCAATTAACTTGATGTGATATTATATTTTTCATGCAGCACATAATCTAAACCTCTTTATTAAAAAAAATCTTATTTCCTTTCCTGAAAAAACGTTATTTACTGTTTGCATAGTACTGTTTTTCCCCTCTTGCTCTTCCTTAGTGACGCAGCTAAAATTTGAGACGTCTGCCCTACTAGGTTCTATGGAGGATCAGAGCATGGAAATTGGGGGTTGTAAGGGTTAAGATTTTAAAGTAAAAAAAAAAAAAAAGGGATTTACGGTTTGGAATTTGATTTGAGGATGAAAGTCCAAGGCTACTAGCTTCATACTAGTAGGTTTTCTAGGAATCACACATGGAGGAAGAAAAATTTAAGCATCACACATAGGTTTCTCAGGAGTCACATCTAAGCACAGCCTTAAAAGCATAGAAGCTGGAGAATCTATTCAAACACCCGACTCTCTAAAATAAAGCATCATAAATGGAGGTAATTTATAGACTAAACATATTCCTAAAGCTTTAGGTAGTTAGATCCTAAACAACAAGGATACAGACTCTTTTATAAAAAATAAAAGTATTACTTATTCCTGCATTAAACCTACTTGATTAAGGACAAATAAAACACTGAAACATGAAATAAAAACCTAGACCTACACAATTTCCAACATATCTGGAAATCATAGAAATATCCCTATCTTTGACAATTACTGCAAAATACAATAATTCTACTTGTTTTGTCTGCATCACTGTGTCTGTCAAGTTGCCGTTCTATTTGTTCTTGAAAAAAGCTGCAATCCAGTTTCATGCAGAACTTTGTTGTCAGGCAGTTGTTCTTATATTACATTATACTGTTTTTATGCAGGAATTTGGGCTAATAGACAAGAAGGAGCTTGCTCCCCTTCAAGAGCTTATAGAATCCATTATCGTACCATACTAAAAGGTGTCTGTTAGATTTTATCACAAGGATGCATGGTAAAACCAAATAAGTACTGCTAATCAGAAATTGATGTAACAGTCTCCTTGCTGCTTTGAATAATCAAGTATTGTGCATTGCATGTGCCACATGCTTATATATTTCAAGTGTTTCCATAGTAGCTCTTCTTGGCTGTATCATGAAAAACTGTTCTCTCTTTTTTGGTACAATATGAAAACTGTTTAAAGAACCTTTGTCTGAAGGGGACTGGTAAAATTGTATAGGCCCCATCTTGTGATGAGGTGGATTTCCAGCCAGAAAGGCATTACTGGTTCGAGCTTCTATTGCCGGCAATTGGCACCTTTTAAATTCAGGAGAGCTGCAAACAGCAGTTTCTAACTTTCTGGTTTATTTCGAGGTTACTTCATGGCACGGGATGATTTTGTTGGCTTTAAATGTCGACCTGCGGAGCTGTCATAAATTCTGTTTTGGATCTTTCTTTTGCTATCATGGATGTTTTTAATTTTTAATTTGAGAACTGAACATAATTCACAGTAATAGTTGTTAGTTATTATTGAATATTAAGGTGGGAATTTAATGTAATGTTTCGATTTTTTATTCAATTGAGTAACAATAAAAATAGATATCCGTAAAAAAAATAACAATTTAAATTTTAAGGAATAAATGTATTTTTCAGTTAAAATTCTCTCTTCTTGTCCATATATTTTTAAGAAAAAGCAAAACTGTTTTTCTTTGTTTTATTCCAGTGTTTTTTATTTATAAAAATACTTGTTTTAAAATTAAAAATTATCATATCTTAAAAGATAATTTATACATTAAATATCAAAAATTATAAAATCTAGAAAAAACAACAAAAAAACTTACAATAAGAAAAAAAGATATTTTATTTTCATTAAATGATTTTGAATTCTTTTTTTTTAATCATTTAAATCATGAAATAGATATTTTTTAGTTATGTCAACACATTTGATTCATATATAATTATTAAGAAGTAATTATTAATATTATTACAAAAAGCTAAGCAATTATTTTAAAACTATGACACAATTAAATAAGTATTTAAATAAATTTATTAAAAGTCAATCTTGTTATAAAATGTACAAAAAATTAAGGTCATTGTTTTTTTTGGGCTAGGCATGCATTGATTGGAGAGATTGGCCAGCGCTGTTGATACAATATTATGAAGTCCAAGGGTGTCTAGGCTTGGGAAGTTAAGTATGTGCATCTAGTTTTTTTTTTTTTTTCCTCCAAAAAGAATTGATGATATATTATTTATTTTTATATTTTTTTAAATAGGATGGACAGCACTTTATTCATTATCAATATTTTTCAATCATCAAAGGTTGCTTTGATGATTGAAAAATCAAGGTACAAGTGTTTGGACCTAAACAATCTAAATTTTAACTCTCTTTTTTTTAATTCAAATACATGGACACATCATTGTGTAAACCTCTATAAACTCCATTCCTAATACTAAAACATATTTTAATTAGATAAAAAACTCAAAATTAAATTAAATTTTAAAATTTATTTGAGTTGATCATCTTATAACACATAATTAAAAATAAAAATTATTTTTATTAAGTTCTATCTATAAAACAAGTTTAAAAACATTATAATCATAGTTATTAGTAATCGAAATCATATGATAGTTCTATCTCTTTTTTTCTCGATAACTTTCCTTTCTTCTTCGTATATTCAGAGACTGATATATATATATATATATATATATATATATATATATATATATAAAGAATTTAAGGATCAAACTATAAAAAGCCTAAACAACAGAGACCAACTATGAAAAAAAAATTTGGATGAACCAAAATTAACTTTTCCATGCCAACATGTGAAAAGGTTTTACTTTTTTTGAAATATCAATTTTGATCTTTTATTTTTAGTTTTAAGAACAAATTGAAATTCAATTTTATAAAATTGATCTTTAATCCAATATTAGAGTATTTATCGACATGTTGAGCATGCAAATCAAAACATATAATAACACAATTGTATTATGTCAATGTAGCTTATAAAGATGTAATTGAAAATAAATGAAGTTCAATGATTAAAATGAAAGAAGCTTAGAACTTCAGGAACCTGGAAAATTATCTATAAATATTAATGTGAATAGTAAAATGACAGAGAAGCCATAGTAGGTGAACAATAAGAAAACCAAATCTCTTATTTTATTTTATAATTGTAATATAATTATTGATATTTCTCATGCTCGAGATATTTCTCTAAAATCTATATATATATATATATATAGCAAGACTACGAATAAAATAACGGAAGATATTTTTTTTTTTTGTCAAAATTGTCTTTTCTTATTCATGATTTTTTTTTTGATAATATGTTTTTTTTAGCAACATAGTTTATTGAATAAAAAAGTAATGGCAACTAGAAAAAATTATTTGCAAAAATTATAATGGTTCAACTACACAAAAATATTTGCAAAAAATTAGAAGGAAAAATGTATATTTTTAGTCAAAAAAATATTTTCTTATTCATGTATTTCTTTTTTGTTTTGATGGAAACATGCTTTTCATGAGAAGCATTTTTCTCTTTCAAGTAAAAACTTATTATGACCCTGAAAGGAAGTTTCAATTGAAAAAAAAATCATTATTAGATAATTTTTACACACCTATATGAGAAAAATAAAAATAAGAAAATTATATAAATAAATTTATAATAAGAAATAAAAAAATAATAGATAAAATTATATAAATAAGTTTATAATAAGAAATAAAAAAATAATAGATATTTTATTCTCATTCAGTGTTAATGAACAAATTATTTAAAAAATGAGGTATATTAGGCTAATATATAATTATTCATAAAAAAATGTTAGTATCATCATAATCATAACAAGCTCTTATCTTCTTTAAAACATTGGCATAATTCAATAATCACTTAAATATTATTTTTAATAGAATGCCCATTGACAATTCTATTGAAAAATATTAACGTTTCATATTTAAAAATGGAGTTACCACAATTTTTACTATTTTCTCTATTCCATTGAAATTTACATCAGCAATTATTGACAAAACAATTTCATTTATATTTATTTTAGAAAGTATTGATGGAATATTTTATGCCTACATTTCCATTACCATTTGTCAATGAAAAATTTAATGACATAAGATTTAAATTTACAGTAAAAATACATAATAAAAAGAAAAGAGATTAAACCAGAAAATAGTGTGGCCAATCTTATATTCAAGTGAAAAGGTACTTTTTAGTTCACATATTTTTTTTTTTTTTTGTCCTTTTAGTTTTTGAAAATTTTATTTTGACGATATGTTATCCACTTAGGTCAACATATAGTAAATCAAGATTTGTCATCTATTTTAGAAAAATGCCATTTCGACACATCATGTTGACCCCTTCTCTTGGATGCAACCTGTCTTTCCAGTTAATTTTCAACTCCCTCCACTCTCTCCTGCAAAGGGAAGGGAGGAGACAAATGCATTGAACTTAATTTGCACAAGGTTATTCTTGAATTTTCAAAATCAAATGATGCACGAACTGAAGAAGATGCAGGGTAAGCAAAACTGTAAAAAATACATATTCAAGTTGATGGGTCGTTGTTGTGCTTCCTTGGAACCACCATGCTCCCCATTTCAATCTATTTGTTTTTTGCCTTTCTAACCACTGATTTTGATGCACCAAATGCTAAGTCACGTACAGAGCTTGCAGACTAGAGCTCGCGATGCTTCCTTCTAAGCCAAAACCAAGGCTTCAAAAGGTGCTATGCACTTTTTAGAGACCCTCCAACCATACTAACCTCCGGTAGCACTCATACTAGAAACCTGTAAAGCCACAGAATTGATCCCTTTAATCAATGATAGATGCATACATTTTGTTATCTGATTAAACACAAGAACCTTTTATCCAAAGAGAATCTGTTTCCAACGCCTGTCCAGGCTGCATTGTGTAGCATTTTGACATTGCATTAAAGAAGACTTTTTTTTCAAAAAAAAAAAAACAGCTTAGTTTCCATTGATGGGATTCTGAATGACAGATATGTACCTTCAAGGGTACAAGCAAATTAGAAATATAAAATGTTCCTTCAAATTATAAGAGCGGAAATAGTGTGCTTTCATTTCACAGAAGATCCACATTACTCGTGAAGCAGATAAAACAATGATTAGCAGTACAACTATAGCAGAAAAATAAAAGGAAGTGGAAAGGGGGTGAGATTGAAGCCCATATTTTTACCTCAGTCTAATCCATCTTGAAGCACACGAGAGCTATTAAGATCAGAATGCCCATATCTTGAAGCTGCGAAACCATATGCCACCGCAACTGCAACTAGGACACCAAAGACCAAGGAAAAGAGCTGAAAGGTTGCAAGCAGCTCGCCTCGAATCTGACTTTCCGATGATCGACACATAATCTGATTGCCCTTAAGCTGACATCCATCCGGCATCATGGGACCATAGAGACAGAAGGCAGTCTGGTAAAACCAGAGGCCTTGCAGAGTCATTGCAATGCCACTAGATAAATCAACCGGAAAGTTGGTTGGGAGGAGAACCCCCATGACAATGGATAAAACACAGAGGCCAATCAGGAGGACAAGGAGGAGATGGTAGTGCCCTTCAAGACCTTTATGGGTTGTTGAGTGAAAGTAAAACAATAGATACTCTGCAGAAAATGCTGCTGCAGCAACCAAACAGAGGACTCCTTCTGGCAAGGGTAGAAATCTGAGCAAACAGTTAAATCAGCAAGAAAGCTCCTTCAGAGAAGTCTGCTGAACATCTTTTTTTTTTTTTCCTCTTTGAGAACTATAACAGAAATTAAATTTCTGGTGTGTATGTCAGTGTGCAACTATGCATTCAGAACTAATCTCTCTTAAGTATAGTTGTAAGCGGTCTTCCATGTACCTAAATTAACCGTGTAGAAAATGTTAAGCACAAGTTTTTTGCCATTATTGCATTATCCGTAACTGCAACCTACCAAGGAAATGTATTTCTGTGTTCATGATCCTATGAACAAAACCGTGAGAGTTATAACAAACATCATGAGAAATTCATAAAGTTTAAAGTTCTTGTGAGCTTATGATTGCTATATAATTCAAAAGCATCTTTATTATCCACTTTAACTCTTCACGGGTAAGTAATCGAACTATTGCTAACCACACATTTAGCTTTCACAAAGTAGTTGCTTCGTGCAAATAAGCTCTTATCTAGACCTTGTTTTGCCTCCAGCAGGATGTACCGTTTCAAAGTTCAGACTGTCCAAACTTCAGGACAAGTCAACATGAATGATCACGATGGCTGCAGAGTATAGACCAGACTTACAAGAACACTATGGTCTAGGGCATGCAGAACGAGGATGACGAAGTCAAATGTTAATTATGTTGCAGGCACAGCAATCATATGATTTGGCCTTATGCAACACCATTTTCTTATGCATAGAAAATAAAAATTGAAGTCCTATGCTATTCGGCCTCGGATTCAATTGAATGAAACCAACCAATCCCAGATATGAAAATTTTAAATCTCTTTTGCCTCGATTAATCAGATAGCTATTAATATTTTTTTAATAAAGTGAAAAACAATCCACAAACACTGAAATTATAAATGACCAACCTTGTTTTCTCTGATAGCAAACCGACAGCCCCAAAAATAAAGAACATGAGAAGCATTCCGCCGTGCTCAAAATCATTCATATGATGAGGATTCAAGACTCCATTGACGAAAAACTTGAGGTGTGTAGAGTACAAAAGCTCAATACACATATCAATAAAGGCACCGCCCGCCACCAGATACAGCTCTAAGTACTTAAGCTTCCCATCAAAACCAGGCACAGGGTTCCAAACCCTGACTCTAAATGACTCTGGATTCGATACATATCTAACCAAAGAGCTCCATATATGCCATACACCAACCAATAAAAACAACGTTCCTGGTAAAGCATGACCCTTGAAAGAACCCATCCTTTTTGTGTAATAATGCTACTCCCACTCCACTCTCCTTATTCAGCTACTACACTGAAATCCTTTGCAACTTGTTTGTCTTCTTGATTCAAAAAATGGGTTCTGATTCAAAATGAGGGAAAAGAAAGAAGAGTTTTAGACTTTTGAGTATTTTTGGAATAAAGCAGGCTTTTTCCCAGTTTATTTCTATGACAGTATTTTCATCGTAGAAGACTTTTTCAAAGCAAAGGAAGCTTCTTCACGGTAGATAAATAAAAATGGGTTTCCGTGTCTGCTCCATTTTGTTGACGAGAAAATCAAGCAAAATAATTTTATTTTTTCTTTTTTTGACAAAATAAACAAAGAGAAAACAGAAACGGCAGCTCATTGCAGATCTGTCGACGCGAGTCTTAACAAAAATTGTTGCAAAGCCTGTCAATAACTCATGGAAGAAATTTTCTCAGGAAACAATCAGATTTTAGGTAAGGTCAATCCCGCTTTAAAAGTCAAAATTAAAACAGGAAACAAAATCGTCTTTCTTTCTTCTGGCAAAAAGTCCATATCAAAATCTAGCATTTCCCCATAACATGAAAATAGAAAAATGAAAGAGAGAGAGAGAGAGAGAGTAAAAAGAACATGTACTGAATTGTTTGTTACCAAGTTGGTACATGAACTATAAAAGTGCAGTAGTATATTGGATTATATAATTTTTACGTACTTACATGATGATGGTATGATTGATTTCAAGAACAAAAGCTATGGTTCTGTTGTTGAGAAGAGCATAATTAGGATCCAAAAAAGGTTATTGCTTGCTTGAGCTCCCTTCTCCAAGTAGATACTATTGTTATTTAGAGCGAGAGAGAGGTGGTGGTGGTGGCCCTGGTGGGTGGGGGGGGATCTGAAAGGGAAATTGGGAAAGCCAGCAAAAAGAGATGGAAATAATGAAGGAATCATTTGAAATGGATCGTCAACTTGTTATCACTATCTACCCATGTCCGCGTATCAAATTTGTCCCTCCATGATGCTGCCTTTGACTGGATGCTAGTCTGTATGTACACGTGACCCCATCACCGCACTGTATACCATGGTTGTCAAATCCAACCCAGCCTGGTGGATTCAACTCAGACCCGAGCATTCGAGATCTTAACCGGGTTGTAAATAAGAAAAATCTGGGTTTTTAATAGAACAAGTTAAACTTGGATAATTTGCCGGGTTAATTCAAACTCAGGTGGCTAGTATAATCTGGAAAAGACCCGGTCTATATATATATTGAATTGGGACTTAACCCTTTCATCGAGTCAATTTCTAGACGAGATTAATAAGTATGATGAATAGCATATTACTGACTGGCCTCTTTTTTTATTTTTTGTTTTAAATTGGTCCCTCAATTACTCATTCATTGCTGACTTAGTCTCTAAAGTAAGAATTGCTCACTTCACGCGTTATAACCATTCTCGAACCTCAACTTTAAGTTATAGTGTATTTGGGATTGTAATAATAATGAAGATTTAAAATTTTTTTATTTTAATATATATTAAAATAAAAAATTATTTTTAACATTAACATATAAAATTTATTAAAAAATAAAAAAATAAGATTTTTATTTTAAAAAATGTTGCCCCACAGTTCACTTGCCCCCGTGGCTCATTCCCATTCCCCACCTTTCATACTTACGAGGTAAAGCTAATTTCTATCAACTGAGGTCTAGGCCACGTCGCGTCACGTGGCATAGCGCTAGTGTACTTAAAGTTTTTAGTCCATTTTTTAAAATAAAAATTATACATGCACTAAAAATATTCTATTTGCACGGTAGAAAAGACAAAATTGTAATTTTCTTCAATTCTGTTATTGTAACGGTACTGTAGCAGTGCTAAATTTTTAATTTTTTTCTTTTTACATAAAAATTATATATATATATATATATATATTCTTCTTATTTTTTTTTTTTATCATTTTACTCTTAACTTAAAAAATATTTTGAGTATATATATATATAGTTTTTCCTTTACATGATTTTTAATTAAAAAATATTTTTTTATTATTTACACTTTGAGTATTTATTACTTTACATTTATCTATTTATACCATTCTTTTTTTTTCTTCTTTTTTATTCTTTTGTAACTTGTGTTTTATTTTTTCTTTACACTTTTACCTTTTTTTAACAAAAAAAATTATTATACAAAAACAAAAAAATGATATTTTACTATAGTAATGGTAACATTATCCTATTTTTTTTATTGTGTTAAAATTTAACTTAATATGTTGCATGTTTTTATTAACAAATATGATATTTATTATATTTTATTATATATATTTATCAATTTTTTAATTCATGATTATAGTTTTTACTTGATATCAAAAAACATATTAATAATATCTATATATTAATTATTTTACATTAAAAAAATTATTTGATTTATAACTAAACTAGTTAAATAAACAAACGTGTTAGTATTTTGTTATATATATTTATTGACATATATAAATTTTAATTTATTTAATTTAGAATTAGAATATTTTTTTATAAAAAACATATATTTGAAAAGCTTACATATTTTTTTTATAAAAATATTTGTCTAATTTGCAATAAAATACAGGTCAAATAATTAGTATTAGCTAAATAAGTGGGTGATACAGGAGAAATAACTGTAGGCATACCTTTTCCATATTAATTAAAATTTATTACCGGTAATAACTGAGATGGGCCTCACATGACTGCAGAAAGTATGTAAATGTGCCCAACATATCAAGAAATTTTCCATAAATGTGAATTTAAACAACTTGAAATAGTGAATTTTTTTTTTAGTTTAAATTATGAAACTAATATTTAAAAGAATTTATTTTTAAAATGTGTGTATGCTAAAATTGTTAAAAAAAATTAATTTAAACTGATTTAATGAATGCTTTTATCAGGAAACAAAAAATAAAATAAAAATTAGAAAATGGTTTTGTTCTCCCACACGCCTGCAAATGCATGAGAAAAAACATTGCCACGCAGACTATCATGAACTAAAATACCAAAATTAACAAAAACTAAAATAAGATGGTGTTTTCGAATTATGTTTTTCGCTATAACTATGAAACTCCTTGATCCCTGCTAGGTACTAAAAATCAAAATTTATAAATAATAAAAAATTCAAAATTAAACAAGAAATTCAAAAATAATCAAGGAAAAACAACAAAATTGTTCAAACAACATCTTCAGAGCATTCGTTTATTCAATTGGGTCTAAAAAATCTCATGAAAATATATGAGCCCAGCAAATAACTAAATGAAAAGTTGTAATTTTGTATTGTTAAGTTATGATCTCTTATTAATTCTATGTTTGTTTAACTCGATCAGAGTTTCTCTTGAATTGAATACCATACCATTAATCTATGAAATCATCTACTGGGCTGTGTATTTTATTTATGGCAAACCTGCATCTAGCTATGGTAGATATCCACATGACTATTCAACACCTTCAGTTTTTGCTAGCCCAGCGACATTAGTTGCTCTGCCTTTCTTTGTAATCTTTTCCGTTTTCCCCTGTTTTCATCCAAGAGGCTTGTTTATTTGTTCGATGAAAAGTAATAAATTTGTTAAAAATTATTTTTAAAATTTTATTATATTTGTTTATTATTAAAAAATTTGGTTGATAAAAAATATTTTTTAATCAAAAAAATTTGTATTTAGTTTATAAGAAAGTGTTTTTTTTATTTTAAACAAAAAATACTTTCTAGAAATTGTTAAAAAATTAAAAATGTTATTTTATTTGTTGATTATATTAAATTTATTTCAAACTTTTGATTGTTATACATACATACATACATATATATATATATATGTATGTATGTATGTATATACATATATACATATATTTAATTTCATCATTTAGAATTTAATTTTTTTAATTTCATAATTTAGAATTTAATTTTTATATTAACTTGGATTCTTATTTTTATAATTGTTATTTACTTTTTTCGTATAAGTTTTAATTAAAAAAATTTATTATTCAAATTTCATTTTATTTCCTTGATTGTTATTTATTTTATTTGAAATAATTTATGACCTGGTAATTGTTATTATTTTAATTTCTTCATCTTTCAATTTTTTTATTTGTTAGATTTGATCTCTATTATTTTAATTGTTATTTATTTTATTTAAGATAATTTATAAATTATATATTTTTTAATTTCATTCTTATTAAACTTTTTAATTTATAAGATTTATTCCTTATTATTTCAATAAACTTGAAAAAAATAAATTATTTTTCAGTTCATTTTTCATGATATAACCAAATTTAAAAATTATTTTTCAACTTATTTTTTATTACATTACCAATATCAAAAAATAATTTAATTTTTTAAAATTTATTTTTTAACAAATAAGGCCTAATATAAACATATCACAAAAGAAGTAATTATTTCATAAATCAGGGAGCTGTCTATATCCCTTCAATTGTAATTCTCCTCGATGCTATCAGAACTCCTAGATTTGTTCATCAATTTTTTGCCTAATCAAACCTCTCCTTACTGTCTAGTTCCATAAAACTGATATTTTCTAAATTCTGATACATTTGAATCTCTGTAATCTTGCAAATCACTCCATCTAATGGTTTTTCGGATTCTATTTGAGAATAACATGTCCCTCCACCAAACGAAGACAACACTCATGGATTTGCTAGAAGCATGCATGAAGAGTGAATGAAGGGGTCGTCACTTGAAAACCAAGTGATGCTCTCGAGGCAAAATTACCTTATAGAAACTACGGATTAGGATCAAAGAAAGATAGACTTAACATTCATAATTTGTTATCAAAAACCATTTTTTTTAATGATTCTGACATTGTTTTCTTGATGGTTTAACGCTAACAAGTTTTGTTTTCTTAATGGTTTAGTATTTTTACCATTTTTTTTCTTTTCTTTTCTTTTTCAAAAATTATCTGCTTTTTTTTATTTTAATGTGTTTTTATTAAAGAATTGTTTTTGTCAATTTTATATTTTTAATATTGAGTGGATTTATAATTTAAATTTGTAGTTTTTTTTTTAAATATTGTGAATTGCTATAGTATTTTCCCACATAATTTTTTTAATGATTTTTTTAAATTATTTTTATCAATTTTATTTTTTTATATTGAACTAGTTGAGAATTTAGTTTTATATTTTTTAAAAAACACTAGGGATTACTACAATATTTTGAAAAAATTAATTTTTATTGATTTTAATTGTTGATTTTATTTTTTTATATTGAGCTAGTTGAGAATTTAGTTTTATATTTTTTTAAAAAAAATACTATGAATTACTATAATATTCCCCCGTATGATTTTTTTCAAAGTTGAGTTATTGAAAAAATTTATTTTTATTGATTTTATGAGGAAATGTTTCAAAATTATTTTTATTATTTTTAATGTTAAGCTAGTTGAAAATTATAATTGTAGATTTCCTCATTAAACATTAGAGATTGCTATAGTATTTCCCAACATGTTTTTTTTCCTTTTATTTTTTTATGATTTTTTTAAAATTATCTTTGTTGATTTTATTATTTTAAATATTAAGCTAGTTGAGAATTATAATTGTAGATTTCTTCATGAAACATTATAGATTGCTATTATTTTTTTGTTATGATTTTTTCAAAATTATTTTTGTCGATTTAATTTTTTTAATATTAAACTGGTTGGGAATTTAACTTTGTAATTTTTCTTTGAAAACATTATAAATTGCAACAGTTTTTCTCTGTATAATTTTTTTTTTTTTATGATTTTGTTTACAAATCCACGACAACACATAAACATGCCACAAGCATGCAGCATCACACGGGCATAGCATCTAGTCATTATTGGATATGTTGAAGTTTTTGTTTTAACAAATCTTTTTTTTTTCTTTTAGGGGAAAGTTGTTAAAAGACTTCTTTGCTAAAAAATATTAGGGATTGATTAAATATTCATTATGAAGATCATATAAATTCATTTAATCATAAGAAGTTGTATTACAACAATATGGTGTTTGTGGATACATTAGATATGAAGAGTGT